AAAATATAATGCATAAAATACAATTTTAATGTATTTAAAGAAAAAGTGCTCTCTTGTGGAAATGCAACTTTTAACTGTTAAACGTACCTTTAAATACCTCACATGGGACTGGAAATGGTTAGTGTGGTCTGAAAATACCTACCTAATCGTAATGTCGAAAAATATAATGCATAAAATACAATTTTAATGTATTTAAAGAAAAAGTGCTCTCTTGTGGAAATGCTACTAACTGTACCTTTAAATACGCTACATCAGACTGGAAATAACTAACATGGTCTGGAAATACCTACCTAAAGCTGGCGTCACACAGTCAGATTTGTACAAAATTGTAATTGTTTGATATATAACTTGTCAGCCCATAAGAATTTTAGGGACAATCTCTATTAAGACCAAGTAAAATTAGGCCACTAGATATGCCAACACCCAGACGTTTTTAGTTTTTGTTCAATATGGATGTAAATTTGTTAGTTACTGTGGTCAGTCTTGTATATTTGGTAAATGAAATGGAAAAGAAAAAGAAAGTTAAGAGATTGAAAAAAAAAACGTACTTGTGTTAGGTCGTGGATTCACAAACGAAATAAATAGGGAGCATATCATGGTCTGTTAAAAGAGTTGGATGCTGCCGATAAGGGAAAATACAATAACTTTCTCCGAATGGATAAGTTGTCCTTTGATGATATTTTGCAAAAAATCTTTCCAATCATCAAATGAGAAGATATGCTTTGCGAAAGGTAATTTCACCAGGGGAGCACCTTGCACTGACTATGTTTTTTTGGCATCAGGTAAGACATAAATGCAATAATTCACACATAATGGATTCTTTCACTTTAGCCTTTTCTTTTTTGTAGTTCGTCCGAAAACTGTTAATTTTGGACTGTACATCAGGTACTGTGAAATTAAATGAATGCTAAAATGGAATGTGTACTTACATTGTAAATGTACCGTATACAGTGTACTGTGAAATTGACCACAACATCATTCAAGCTACTGTGTGTTACGTAGGCTAACTAAGTTGTATTTTATATGTAGTGTACATTGATAGGCCTAAAAAGAAAGAATAAATAACTACAAATTACTCACCACTAATTCCAAGTTTCAGAGCAATTCTATTTAGTGTAGCCTTTCTTGTATCTTTGTCTTTTTAGTCACTTATTCTTATATTCCACAACAACTCTTCCTCTTGGTAATATTCAATTCAATTAAATCTGTAGAGATTTTTTTTTTTTTGGTGGGAGGGATGGGTATTTTCTTCTCTACCAAACTCAAAGAAATGCTGTGGGTCTACTTATACAGGATCTTTTTCTATGCAGATCCCTATTATTTCCCAAAGGTCTAAACTTTCTGCGCTGTGATTGGCTGTTGATTTTCAAATGTTGTCAAATACTTGTAGAAAATAGGACATGTTCTATTCCTTTCCCATCACTTCGGACACCCAAGGGGACCACAGGTTAAAACAAAGTTCGCAGTAAAATCACAGACTTGGGAAACAAACCAAGTAAGCCCCATTAATCATTTTTGCACTGGATGAATATTTATAGTCAAAAACTGACCGTGCGACGCCAGCTTTAAGCAATCATAGCAAAGTTTTGCCGCGTTTCTACTGCACGACACCAAAAAAATTGGTGATTTTTTTAACGGTTATAGTCCTACGTTTCTGCTTACTAAACCCTATTAGAATACCATGTTTTATTAACACTTTATATTTTTGGTCTTCAATTCTAGTGACAGTTATGTGTAGCCCTTCTTGTTCAATCAAATGAATAAATGGTCTCCAAATAAATTTATATTTACTCCGGAAGTTTATTCAATCGTCATTCTAGAAATCTAAAAAGAATATATGCATGTATAACACGTAGCACAAAATAATACATTAACAATATTGTATTCCATTTCATGGTACAATCAAAATTAACGGGTGAACAAAATATGAATCTATTCATATATAAAATCGTTTCAAAATCATAAAATCATAACACAAATTAATAAAAATGCTATAGTAATAGTAATTAAGTGAATATCTTACTTAAACATATTGAAACACGCTAATGTTCCGTCACTTCAATATACTTTACTTAGCCTAAATATTCCTTGGAATATTCGTATAATTAAACGTTTGCTTTCTTATATCTAATGTATAAACATATTAAGTTAAATAAGTCCTATCACAGCGTACGGTACTGCTGTATTACAAGATACCGTGACATCATAAACCCATTCAGCCGGCCCGGCGAATGCGACACCATAAAAGCGCAAACATAGGTTCTAACATGCAAACATAGCTATCACCCTGGATTATGTATTAATAGATTGAGGAATATCAATCATACCAGAGTAAATAAATTTAGTTTTATAAAATAACATGTCTAGTGGTATAGAAAATAGCTAATAATAATAATAATAATAATATGGTAATAACAACTAAAATACTAATACTAATAATTACAAACAACGAATACGGCTTTAAAGTTTAGCGATAAGTTAATTAAACCATATAGAAAAAGAATTATGATTAAACTAAACGTTTTAACATTGGTTGTCAGAATAGCGTGATACAAGGCTTCATAATAACAATATCACTTCTTTATTAATCAAAGTATTTATATAGCTTATTCTATGGTAAAGATATATTTCGAAGTGATAATCATATAGGCCTACAATTATTAAAACGATAGTAATAATATTAAAATATCAAAATAGGACGATAGTTCATCATGGATATAACAATTAAAAGCAATGGAATTATAAAATGTAAAGTTAAATCGCAATAAAACTATTCACTGGTATTCGTATAGCCTGGGTCACTGTCCCACTGCTTACAGTAGCCTATGCACATTATAACTGTGCTTTGCCTAAAACGTCCTTCAACATTCCTTCGCTTGGCCTTTAGCCTAAACAGATCGCTACTAAATGCATAACTAAAACACAGTATAGTATTATACATCTATACTAATCCGTTTTGTCTAATAATAACATAAAAATACTTTTAATTAAACTAAAAGTAAACAATAATTAGAAATACAAATCTTACCTAAAAAGAGCCAGTCGTAGAGGTCGGATTAAACATAAAATTCGAATTAATAAACGATGAAAATTGAATAGAGTTCTTATCAATGCGCTGGAGATGTGACAAGTAAGTAAGGAATGTGGGTATAGGTCCATGGGACCTTGGTGGTGGTCAATCTTAATGGGAAAAACAGTTAAATTATTACTTTAATGGAAGAGGGCTCTGTGTATACTGGTTCCCGTATTCATTGGGGTTACATATGTATTCAAGGAGTGGGAAGGTGGGCTAATAGTAGAGAAAGTACAGTAATATAATCTGCCTGGCAAGAAGAAAATATTAGTATTTTTTAGTCAAAATTAAACACAGAGAGTTGTTTAATTATGGAAATAATTATTCGGGAGCAATTTTTATGTAATTAATGAGCAACACTCTATAATTTTAGGGAAAATTGTATATAATTATTAATGTGGCCGGAGGTTGGGTGGGGGGAATAAAATCTAAGAAAACCTGTTACTTTTGGACCTCTGTATTATTTTCTTAACTTCATAACGTTTTTTATCTTCTTATGTTTCAGTTTGAATTAAATATTTTATGATAATGGTTAATCTGAAAGGATTCATGAAAACAAGAATATCAATTTGTTTAATTTTTTTCCAAAAATATTTTTTTTTTTTTTTTTGCCAAAGAGGAGTCCAAAATGCCTGTATGACAAATCAAAGTGACACTTTTCAAGCTTTAATTCTTTTGAAATATTTACTACAGTTTTAATATCTTGTTAGCCTTGACTTCAGAATTATGTACCTTTAAAAGAAATGGTCTAATCATCATCATAAATCACCCTTTAAATTGGACACTTTTCAAGCTTTAATTCATTTGAAATGTTTACTGTAGTATTTATACCTTGTTAGCCTTGACTTCAGAATTATGTAAAGTTAAAAAAAAGGTTCTCTAGAGCATTGTCATAAGTATTGTAGGCATGCACCTGACATTATGCGACATGCATCATCATTAATTTTCAAATAATTCTTCATTAATTTTCAAATAATTTCATCAGTTTTTTTTTTTTCCCATTTTTGTATTTGGGATTACCACTATACAAATTTATAACTGAATATTGACTTGTAATAATTATTAATAATAATAATATGTCGTTCTTATATAGCGCTTCATGCACAAAGCCTTTAAACGCTTCACATTACTACCCCGGTCATTGGATCAAACACATATGGAACACATACTCAACACCAAATTAAATTATGTTATTATTTATAATAATATTGCAGCTAGTAGTTGTGTTGGTACCCACATGTACTCCTGGGTGGAGAGATGCAACCGTACATAAAGCGATTTGCACAGCAAGAGTTTTGAACACCCTACCTTGAGGTTTGGAGTCCAAGCAACAATCGATGCGCCAACTACATAGGCAGTGCTACAGTAAAATCTACTCACATTCCTTGTTGAAATCATGTTCATAGCATAACAAACAATTGTAAACCTGATCCTGAATCATGTTTGGTTTTACAATTGATAAATTGTATAATAATCATCATCATATTGAAATACCCTTTAAATTGGCTAGCTATGAATCTAAAGGATTCTTATAGCAAAATGTTCTGAAATCGGAATAAACCTAAAATGTTTTAAACTGTGTATTATTGTAATTGATACTTTTATATATTAATTCATTGTTTTAATTGAATTTGTTATGGTCTATATTTTAATGCATTCCCAGTCTGTTTTTTAAACAAACAAAAGTTATTATACACTATATTTCAAATTCACATTCAGATATTCTTTATTGTCATAATACTCAAAATAGTACTGCCATCCTTGTTGCAGAAAGGCAACTTAATTTTTATACTAAAGGACAAATATAAATTGCACAAGAAAGTGGCAGATTTTAAGAGGCCCCAGCTGGTCCAGATCCCCCCTAAAGTTAAAAAGATAATTAATTTGAAATTTATATCTGAAAATGCCATTTCCGGCCATCTAGGCATGCCATAATCTTATTTTTTTTTACCTCAGCCCCAGCCAAGTTGGGGCTAGGGTGACCTAGACTCTTCATCTGTGAAAGTCTTCCCTTAACCTCCTTTCAAATTCCTGGAACCACCACTGCTCACACTATGAACAAGTAAAATGCATATATAAATAGTTAACAGCTAAAAGCAGTGATTAAGTAATCAGTGATTATGCGTAATATAATACTGAAGTTAAAAGTATTCAACATCAAAACTCTGGTTTATTCCTCTCATTATTTTAATGTTTTTATGTAACTTTTTAGTTAACAGAATTCAACATTGTTTTGAGTTGGCAGGTAGTAGCCAAGCTAGTAACTTGGGGCTCTTAAATTTTTTAAGAGCGTGACATCAGTAATCTATTTCCAACTTGTAAAGTGGCCAGTTACTTGCTATTGAATCAGGATGAACGAACGAAAAAAACAATTATTGCATTTTGATGAAACGTATTTGGTTTATTATTAGGTTGATATTTTGATTGATATCTGTGGTGAATTAATCAACATTCGTGAAGAAATGTACGACAGTAAGGTGAAGATGGCTAGTCTGCAGCAAGACTACAATATTAATGTAAGTTGTTGGGTCATGTGACCTCATGTAGAGTATAATGTCACAGTACTACTGTCAGGGGAAGATCCATAATGGGTTTAGTAGAGCAAGAGTGTAAGGTGGTGTTTCTCTCATAAGCTTAATTATAAATTAAATATTCCATTTTTGCTGCTACTTGAAAGAGAGTGCCCCTTTGGCCAGCAGTTAAGATCTTGACGAGATTTGATTGACAGATAAACCAACCCATCAGCAAGCGTCATTTAGTCACATGATCAAAAACATTTTCTCGGACATTATTTCCTTAGACAGCTGGTTGTCAACGCAAAACATACATGAGCCTAGGCCTAGATGTCTAAGCTTGGTTATAGATACCCAGATTTACACAAGCAGTGCGCATCAGTGACTTGGCCTTTACTGACAACTGAATGCGGCTTTTCCCTCTTCCCTTGGGAGCGAAATACAGAGGCTTTTACAACAATTTCCCCGCCTGTTCAATGAAATAGATTAGCAGTGAACTACTCTAAAGACCTCAAATGTTATGTTACAGTTCAAAGTTCAAATCTGTGAAAGCCAGTGGCACATCCAGGATTTTTGTTAAGGAGTGGGGGGGTTCTAATCAGATTTTAGATGATATGAATCAATACATACCTTAGTATGAGAAAAATTGATACATTTGCATTTTGAGGGCGTAATCAGCACAATATGTTTTCACTGGAAGAAACAGCTTTGAGCTAATAAAACACGTCAGTTGAACAATTAAATCACATTTTCATCAGAATCTGTTATGGGAAAGGAACTAGAGATGCTTTTCTATTGCAAAAATCCTTTTTATGTGATAGTTAAAACACCATAATATATATGTAGGACGCAAAATTTAAAGCATGAAAGATTTCAGTGGGCCAATAAAATGCACTTTATATCATGAAGAACATTCCGTAATGTGTGTGTCAGATATTTATGATTAGATGACTAACAGTGATATAAAATTTAAATTATTTTTTTATTGTGGGTCACTATTTGATTAATGGATGGATGGAACGTGCAAAGAAAAATGTACAAAGGTCGGAATACTTGATTGCTGTGGTGTGTGTCTGGTGGTGTCCACAAGGAGACAATGCCCTGCTATATTTTTTTCAGGAAGTTTATAGCGTTTTTGAATATCCACATGGAACATGTTGTACATCTGGATGACTAGCTTAACTGTCTTTTAAATGATGGTGTGCTATTATTGTCAACCTTATGGTAGGCCTATATTTTAACTGAAGTGTTAATATACAAGGCCTACATTATGCTGAACCCTTATTAAAGTAGGCCTACTTTGTACTGAAACTTTATTATGGTAAGCTCACATCACACTGAAACCTTAATACAGAATGCTTACATTTGGATTGAACACTATGCAGTAGACCTATATAATTATACTCTAAGAGCTTTAACGGATGCTTATCAGTATTCAAGCAAATCTGATTGTGATACTACAACTACTTCATGATTAATTAACGCCAGGCCACGTGCTACGGTAGCCAATGCATTGTTGATTCCGCATCACGCGGACAATTCTGTACACCATTTGTTTCATGTCTCATTAACGGCATTCATTGCACAACTACGAATAGCAGCATTTTAAGATTAAGCTTTCGAAGAAGTTAATGCTGCCAACAGATTAATTTTTATCGAAGCAATCAAGACAATGTATTATGGTATCTTCTACTTCATCTTTATCATGTAGTAACACTTGTTCAGAATGCAGATTTTATACATAATTTCCCTCAAGATGAAATTACAGCAAAAGTTTAGTAATAATACATTTCCTTCAAGAGACTTGTAATGGTGAAGATAACATCATGAATCATTATTATATGCTATATTTATATATATATATATATATATATATATATATATATATAATGAATAAAGTAGTTGGCAATACTAGCAACGTATAGTGCTCGATACACGTGATAATGCAGAGCGTAAATATTGAAAATGTAGAACTGGGTATTATCACTCTAAAGACTGTTTCATGCTAATGCAATCTTCAGGAGTGAGAGAATACAAGGATTGTAGGATTGTCCGAGTATATGAATGCTAAGACAGGTGAAAATGCAAATGAGTTAATTGTTTTTAAGTAGGTATTTGTTGCTGTGCCTACATTTAGACAATAGCTCGGTTCTTTTGTTTACTGTTGACTGTTTGTCTGAATATATTATGTGAAGTTTTTCGGTTATGCATAGGTTGCAGCGTTTTGTTTTTGGGGAGTAATTTGCCCTTTAATGCCTGTCTCTTATACACATCTAGATGTGTATAAGAGACAGTATATATATTATGCAGTTGTCACAAACACATGTTATATTGGTAGTTGACATATTTCAAAAATAAGCTTTTATCATCATCTTATCATGTCCACATATTGGCTAGATACTTTGATTCAGCCAGAGCTGGACACAGTTTCAAGCACAATCATTACATTCTGCCAGGTCCATAGATGGCATGGTCACAGACCCTGTATACGAATTCATATTAATGGTCTGTGGCGTGATAAAATGAAGATACAAGTAGCAACTGGATCTTGTGTGTGGCTTTCATTCATGATAAATGTCTGCAATATTATTACCAGGGTGTCAGTGCAAGATTATATTTCAAGTCGAGGACACTCAAGTATTTGGAGCGATACTGTTTCCTAATTATCTTCAACTCCTACTTACATGACCAGGTTAGTTTTTTTTATCTACATTTAAACAGAATATTTCAACTTACTGCAGTAGGCCAACCCTACATTCAAATGGAACATTCCTCACCATGTTTTTTTTTTTTTTTTTTTTTTTTTGATCCATTATGAAATAATTGACACATAGATGGAGTAAGAAAAACCAGATAGTAATCAATCGGAAATTAACATTTGATTTAGACGTAATTCTTTTTTGTATACTATGTACACCCTTGATCATTTCTGTTGTTAAGTGATTATTATAGACATGCAAGTGCTATAAATCAAACAATAATTGATTTTGTTTGTTTATATTTTTTGCAGTTTTCCCACATGTTTCTTTATTCGTTCCAATCCTGGATACGGCAACAACCGGATTTAGTTCGACTGCTGTCTCAGCGTGATTGTTGTCAAGAGAATGAATCACTGACCATACTAACAAAAGGTGGTTGTGTCTTGGTAAGTGTTCTTCATTCTGCTGTTGTTGTATGTGGTGGTTAAGATGATATTTTGAAATCCAGTTGCACAGAATGCAAATAACGATATTCACAATCCTACTGTTTGTAGTGATTATGGTAATTATCTAATTTGCATGATTTGTACATAATAAAAATTCTGCACCACGGATGACCGAAATTGTGCTTTTAGACCACAATATTGGGGATTGGCAGTCAAAATAACGTTATTTGGAGGCAAATTAAAATTTGTAGTCTGACCTCATAAAGGATTCAGGTGATATGGTTCCTTGCTTCTCTCCCAGTGGGTGACAACTTACCTCGACCCTGCTCATGCTGCCACTGTTTTCACTTCAGTTTGATTCCGTTAATAAAAACTTTTAAAGAAAATGTCATATTCTGACAATCTGTTTCTCATTAATGTTAAGGTCTCGGATGAGTCATTGGATAATGACGTGATGGGTTCTACACCTGATGTCGGTGTGTCCAACTTCCGGTGTATTTCCGGTATTCCAGTTTACGGTGTAGCACAGCCTACCTTCCAGGTCAGAGCAAATTGTTTTCTCATCAAGTTTAACAAGGGAGACTCAATTACACTGATTATATTGACATCTTTTGTGAATGGTAATCATGTTTGTAGATGAATTCACAGTTTCACCTGCTTCCAACAAGAAATAGTAAAATCAACTTCCATAATCTAGATACCATTTAATCATAGAGAAAATAGAATTTATACCATTTTATCATAGATTCAAGTAAAAAATTTACTCATTACTTTGATATAAAATCATTTTTAAATATATGAAGGGAATAAAACGAATAAATGAATTACTGGATAATGAGTGAATGAACAACTGAATATAATGAATGATCAAATGAATGAATGAATGTACTGTATATACTCGCATATAAGATGCCCCCCCCCCCATCCATATTATTACTTCATTTTGACAATTTGGTCTAAAATTTATTCACTATTTGTTTGTTTTTCTTCTGTATTTCTCTCTAAATTTAATTTTCTCCTTCTCAGAGGCATTTTTTTGAATAAACAAGAAAATTAAAAAATATAAAATTACAGGATTTTTTTTTCACAGGGTTTAGAAAAACTTGTGCCATATTTAACAGACAACAAAGCAAGCCATCCTGTGGTTCACTTCTTTAACCTGAGGTCTGACCTTGTTGTCGAATGTGACGGACAAACATACACTCTCAAATATCACTCTGATCCCAGTGCAAATATTTTCTACAAAAACAATGATGTTGAAGATTTAGAACAAAAAGAGGCTAAACTTAAGAATGAAATATTGCAAGAAAAAGGCCCATTACAGGTAGTTCATTTTGCAATAATTATTTCTTTTCAAAGCTATGATTCCATTAAGATTATTGAATCTAACATCATTAGCATAAAAATAATTTAAATCGTGGTATCTGCCAGTAATTGTATCTTGTGGCACTTACTACCAAATGGATGTTGAATGCATATGTGGCCATGAGGATTATTCCAAGCAAGCTGTGCAGTTGATTCATTAGCAGTTAACTCAAACCATTGTCATTGTATAATGTTCGCAGACACACCCAATTTGTTCCAGCGTTTTATAGTCTTATCTGTCACCTGCAATTGCTTTTTCTTTCTAGCCTTCTGTGTGTGTGTGTGTGTTTTTGTCTTTATTTCTAATGTTTTCTTGGGGTATTTTTACTAAATTTAATTCATATTAGTTTTGTTGATCATCATTTTTTTTATTCTTTATTTAAATTGCAAAATAGATTGTTTCAACAATATATTGTAAATAAATAAAACAAAGAAAATGTACTCTTGTCCCAAAAGTGTCATTGATGCAATTTAATTTCGACTAATACATTCAGTGCCACAAAATCCTACAAGGTACCCATTTATACTCCTGGGTTAAGGGAGGCAAACGTAGATAAAGAGCCTTGCCCAAGGCATAAGAAAATGCATAGTAAAGGCTTGAATCACCAATCTCAATGTTAAGTAAACAAAACTCAAACGTTGTGCCATAACCACTTCTGTATGATTAGGCCAAAAAGGCCCAAAAAAATCGTTTGTTTGCCCTTTAATGCTGATAATTGTATAGGAGGGGTGGGCGCAAAAAAGGTTTTTTTTTCTCTCCTGTCACCAAAATTAACATGTATAAATCGCAATGCTTGCAATTAGGACTGTCTCACTATTTGTTTTTTTCAAAGGGTATTCATCAGACTGAATAAAAATAACCCATAATCGATAATTTGCAATGAATTTAGGCCTAGAATGGCGATACCTTACATCAGACACCAAATTTAGACAACTTTCATGCACAAAATGGAGAAAAATAAAGCTCACATTCTTAAATTTGTGGAACAAAGAAATCTAATACTTTTGTTAAAAACGCTGCCCCTATTTTTCAATGAGCTAGGGGCAGGTGCTAGAGGCTTTTTTTTTAGGCCTTATTAGAAACAAGCTAATGTTACTCATAGTAAACATACTGTAGCATTTAGAGTAAACTCTAAATTTCATGTATGAAAATACATCAGACATACTATTGTTTTTATTCCTTTTAATGTTGTGTGAGTTACACAAATGTTTTTTGTTATTTTAAAATGCCACTGCATAACCTCTCATATGATGCTGTGATGTACAGACCTTGCATTTGTTTTTCAGGTACATTACACTGATACTAAATGGCCTGCGGTTGCTATGGAGTTTAAGAGTGCGTTCACCTTGAGAGAGTTGTATAAATCGCGGGGATCTGACAGTGCGTTCACCTTGAGAGAGTTGTATAAATCGCGGGGATCTGACAAGTTAATTTATCATCATCTCCCGATGAGCTGTCATGAGACTGCACCGAAAGAGCAAGTAATGCCCATGGCTGTTTTTAACTTATTTTTTTTAATTTCAAAAACATTTTTATAAAGGTGACCTAATCGGCTTTATGTGATAATTGAAATCTAAATACATGGTAATTATATATATATATATATATATATATATTCAACATTTTACGTATTTAATACTGAAAAACAACAATGATGTGGGAAACAATGGCTAGATCTCGGTAGAGATACAAATTTGATAAGCAACAGCTAAAAAGTAAACGTAAGTAAACAGCCAGAAATAGAACCAGAGACAAAACTATTCCTTCCTCAGTAGCAAATGCGCTATATAATATTCAAATCTAGTTGCTGATTAGCACTGAGAGTACAAATAATGTATAAATGTAACAGATAAGACATGCAACATAAAACTTAGTACTGGAGCTTTAGTACAGTACTTACGACGATGCCAACCTAAACCTGTATCTGCTGATGTGTTCTTGGTATGGTAAAGTACTTAATGAATAAATTATTTTTTGAAACAAGCAGGGAAAATTGTATAAGATTAGTTGTTTAAAGGTGTTTTGAAATAATGAATGGAATAATAATGATATGTAATTTTATAATATTTACAGAACTTTGACAGTATAGTAAATGTTTTGCGTGACTTGGAAGAGTTCTATACTGATGAGGATGGTCCAGCGTTGCTTTTTAGCTGTCACAGTGGCAAAACCTGGACAACCGTTGGAATGGTCATCGCAGGCCTTGTCTGCTGGCATAAGAGGGTACGTATACAGCAGTTTGGCACAGCGTTGAGGTTTGGGCTTTCAATCGTGAGGTCGGGCTTTCGAGTCTCCACTGTGCAGATTCGCTTGTGTCCTTGGGCAAGGCACTTTAACTACATTGCTTCAGTCCACCCAGTTGTATCAATGGGTACCAGCAAACTGTTGGGGACTAACCTGCGAATGACTAGTGTCCCGTCCAGGGGGAGTACATTTAAGGAACCTTTTTATAGACCTGAAAGAAATGTTTTATGTATGTGGTATTCTCGTTTGCTACTTTGGTATAGTTGGTAGCCACAGATTTTTTTTGTTTTTGTTTCTTGCAGGGATTTCCTATTGGTACAAAAGTGGGCCAACAAGAAAGAACCTGTGTCCAAAATGCCGAGTACACTAAAGGAGAATTTGCTGTAAGTTTATCATGTTTACTAAATTAATTATTAAAATTATAATTATTTTTAAAGTTCTGTAAAAATATCCACTTCAAAAAGAATAGCTCAATATGCTTTTTTTTCCTGATTAGGCCAATCAGTTTGTCTCAAAGCTCCCTCGCACAATAGTAAATTTATGTGTGATATCGCCTAAAAAGGTAGAAACTTTTTTTTCAAAAAGTATGTCTTGCTCGAATTGTAACCGGTGTGTGTTGACGCACTATAATTCTTAAGTAAAGAGAGTCATGTAATGGACCCTTTAAAACCTAGTTCAGTAATAAAAATATTTTGTTAAGACATTTAGAAAAAAGTAACAGCATTCTGCATTAGGTTTTTAGAAACAGGGAAACTTTGAGACAAACAATTAAATTAATATGGCCTTGATTAGTCAAACACAATATGCAACTTTCATCCTGTTTATTCTCAAAATTCGGCACCACCAAATTCATTCCAAATTATTCACTTCATACCAATCATAACATATCCTAATATGAGACATCTATTCTTACATCATAAACAGGAAATTTAAATGTGTATTAGATGACGACACACACCTTCTATGTAAATATATTAACTTCGGTAAATCGGGTCGCATTATTCCCTCATTAAAGAAAAGCTCTCGTCATAACGATTCATTTCTTCCATCTGCAATTCGACTAAACAATGCAAGCCATAAAGAGACAGTTGCAATCAGTGTATTAAGTAAGATTCTATGTTCAAGTACTGTAATATTATATATTTTTTTATATTAACTAATCAAATTGTATCTTGTATTTTAACACCTTTGAACTATTCCTATATTTAAGTTTATTTATATGTATGTTGAACCTTGGAAAACAGAATTTCATGTAAACCTTTTACGTGACAATAAAGAGAAACTTGAACTTGAAATATACATGCTGTTACTATCCCATTTACCAGCAAACCCTTTAAAAGGGCGGGTTGGTGAACCAGGTTTTGCCAGAATCTTATCTAACATCAAAGAAGAATACCTCTACTTAAGAGTCATTATCATAGCAGGCATTGCTGTTTCTCAATAAATTACCAGTATAGTATTTAAAAACCAGGCTGGAAAATTTTAAAAACCTGTTGTTCAAAAAAATTTGGCATTTTTATTACCTTAGCTATAATTTCAGATAAAAATCATAATAGATATGCTTTTGAATTTTAAAAATTAATGACTTATGTTAGAAGTTACAACATGGTTTTTGATTTAATTGTGCTAGTCTTCTTATGAACTATTCACAACTAATGAGCCTCACTGTTAATCTTGTTACAAAATTCCCTGAAGCAGTAATTAATAGAGATAAGAAGAGATCGGCAAAACCTGGTTCAAAAATTGAAAATTTGGTAAATGGTGAAGTTTCCTCATGATATTAAGGGTCTAGAGGTAAATGTAAAGGTAAAGGTAGGAGAATAACCCTTAACTTGCGTCATTGTGCTGAATTCCATATGGCGTGGTCCGTGACTACCTAGCAGCTGTAAAGAGGCGCTTCATGGTATGCTACACGTTCACATCATTCCACAACGACGTGGGCTGAAATGAACCATACACACACCGGTCAGATGTATACACTGGATTGATTTTTGAGAATTTGTTGTTACTCTTCAATTTTGTTTTTAAATTGCAAGTAAAGAAACATTTGATTATTAGACCTCCATTTTAAGTCCTTATCCGAGAGACTTGGTTCTACCAACCAAACCATGGACGAGGAGCGGCTGGAACCAGAGCCGATTTTAAGGCTGTAACTAGCGGTGCTCCTGCCTTACCGCTCGGCCACAAGGCTGCCACAAAATTATTAATATTATTCTTAGTATTTTGATTATTATTTTCATTGTAATGATTATTATTATTAATATTTCGACTTATTTGTCTTTTTATTGATTGAATGTTAAGGTTGTGATGCAGTTAGTAAGGAGGCTGCCTAAAGGGTTACAAGTCAAACGGGAAGTTGACCTTATGCTTGACAAGTGTTCAGAGACAATGACCCCGATGCACTACCACCTCAGAGAGGTCATCTTTGCAACATGTAACAAGGTATCAACATTTATTATAGATTTTATTGAACACATTACTTTTGTTCTTTTACTGAAAATTCTATTTACATCTGATTCATAATCACATTACATAACAGATGATGAAGAGGTTTATTTCAAACCGAATTCAAATTTAATATTTGAGGCTTGCCATCGCTACACCAGTGTGATGTCGCTAATTGTTAAACTGAGAGATTCAGCGATGTCTGTTTACAGCCGGTCATGTGACTTAACTTGGGTATACATGAAAAATATTACAGCGCTATAATATAGGAAAGGCAATACGATTGTTTGAAAATAGTGTTTATTTACTTATCCTAGCGTTCGCCAAGAATTGTATGCTTTGAAATTTAAGTGATCCTTCATAAACCTTAGCTAGCCCTAACATCACAGCGTAGTTCGTGGGTCGAAGACCATCTTGCATAACTAACCATGCCGTAGATGTACAGGGGCCTAGACCTAACTTTTGTTGAAAAATCTCAATGTTTGCAGCCAGTCTCCATTACAGCATTAATAGCAAACTATTAAGGCAAAATTCTGAATGTTTAATTTCCAATCAATTTGGTATAGTATACTAGGAATTATGATGATCCTTACAGCAATAAGCAAGGGACAGCCGCAGTAGCAATCTCCATGTAAAACACCGCTGTGTCAGTCAATTGTTTATGCAACACCCAAGTTAGGTCATGGGATGCCCATCGCCGAATCCCTCTATTAGTATATGAATGTGGCAGTATCTTATACGTTAGTACACAGAAGCTGTACACATAAACTTTGGCAATATTAACTTGATTCTAGTACCATTATTTTAAAGCTTATAATGCGCAGAATATGGATGTATTTAAAAGTCAGTTTTCATGTTTTGTTTTTTTTTCACAAGTGCTGGTTTTGGCATGGCGAGCCCCATATTCTGAATATAGAGCAATACACAATTAACATTGTTATTATTTCAGCATTTCATCTGAGTATTAGAATAGGAGTAAAGAATATCATAAATAATATAACAATTTGTCTTATGAAATAAGTTGAGCAAGTGATGGAAAGAATGTAGAGGGTGCCAATCATTCATTTTAAGGTGTAATTTTTTTACCTCTATTCATTTCTGTAGGTGAAGTCATGCAGCTCAGAACATAAGAAAGACCTGCTTATGTTATCACTAGCATACCTTGAGCGATACATCTACCTGATACTATTCAACTGTTATCTGCACATGGAGAGAGCTGCTGGGTGGAGGAAAACATTTACAACGTGGATGAAAGAGGTAAGCTGGAAATAGCAGAATATGTCATTTCATTCTTGATCAGGAATGCAGCTGTTGAAATGTGGTTAATGTGCTTGTCTCCCAATTTTAGGGTCTTGGGCTCAAATCCTGCAACTGTTGATGGAGTGGAGCTGTAGCTTAGGGGTTAAGATGCTATAGTCTTCCAATCCCAGGGTCCTGGGTTCAAATCCTTCAATTTTGATGGAGTGTTGCTCTAGATTGGTGGTTGAATGCCCTGCATGCCTTACAATCTCACAGTCCTGGGTTCAAATCCTGCAATTTTGATGGAGTGGGTCTGCAACATAGTTTTGTTATTTACTTATTGATTTTAATATTTTCTGTAATATTAATTTAGTCTAACCAGGTATAATATCTATAATAATTTACTAATTTTAATTATTTCCTTTAGACTGGCTCTAAAGTTGGTGCCTACACAATATTGGACAATTTGAATTTTCATGATGTTGACGGACTGGAAGACACCGATGTGTACTGTTGCCGAGAGCGATGGAAAGAAGAATGTCGTATCAAAGAGTTTCCAAAGAAGCCACCTTGTATCTCTTGAGCTTTGTAAGATGTGGTCTTCTGTTTTAATGCTGAGCCTTCGTCTTTATGTTTATATTAAAATGAAACATCCATAAATCTTAATGCTCTGATTGACTGTGCCACATTTGATGTGTATCAGTGACCAGCTGTATAATGCACCTGGTAAACAGTCTTTTGGTGACAGTATGTGCAATTAATTGATGGCGAGTTTTTTTTGCTAAAGTGCATTTTCAGCCTAGTCTTCTTGTATCCAGTGCACACATTTTAGTTTTATATAGAGCATCTCAAAACCACAACTTGGGTTTTAAGTGAAAGTTTAATAAAAAATATATAGTATATATATTATTTAATATAAATATATGGTATATTTTGAAAGAGCAGAAAGTGCTGTGTTTGATTTAGAATTGAAGATTAAGCAAACTAATGAATGATTTTATCCACAACTAGTATAACTTAGAATCAAAATTCAAAATATTTATGAAATTGAGCATGAAATGAATTCTAGAGTCTTGTTTGCTCTCTAACATTTTTAATTTTAAGAACAAAGGGGACAGGTAGGTCAAGAAAAAATTTAATATAATGAGAAAGGAATAGTGGTACTGTATATTGGAGCATGATAAAATTGTTCCATTTGGTTTGGTTTACTCAGTGCAGATATAGAGTACAACAATGTTAAACTAGAACCTACATTAGTCAGAATTAGCAATTCAAAAGGGTATTAAAAAGGGGTTGATGAAGTATGTGTAATAGAAAAGTGAAGGGAGATCTAGTGGGGGAAATCAGTTAATATTTCTGCCTTGTCACTATTGAGTGTAATACTTTGCTGTTGGAGCTACCTATCAGGGTGAAAATTGTTGTGGTGTTCATTCTCCCCTCCATAATGTCTTGATTTATATTCCCTGGTCAGATGATATAATTCCATTGAATTCTCTAAGGGAAGTACTGTAGTATTCCTTTTCTGATGTGTGCAGTTTAAGTCCAGTAAAGGTGACTATGGGTCCATCACAGTTTTGTAAGATATTTCTATTTATTTTTTTATTGTTATATAGTGCTTTATGTGATGTTTGTGTCTGTAAACCATGTTTATGTGATGAAGATGTATTAGCTTACATCTTTCAGCCTTTACAAAGGGGCATATTTTCATTGATTGCTGGCAATTCTTAAGTTATATTAGGAATTTGGTTTTGGCCCTTCAAATAAACTGTAATTCCTCAGGTTTACGGCAACCTTGGGTATGTGCCCATCCCTGAGTTGCATTCGATTTCACGCACAAGCTTTCACCCTGGCAAAAATCCAGGGTATAATTTGAATGAGTAGCAGCTCACCTTTATAAATAGTTGAAAAAAAAAAAAAAAAAAAACTCAGATTGATTGTCATCTGGCTTTTGATGCGCTCGCAAAGAATCGTGTTTTATGATGATCCTTTCAGACTGCCACCAACTATCAGCAGACGGTGTTGTGTCGTCTAGCAATCCCAGAGAGTTGGATTTTTCTTACAACACAGTGTTTGCCCGGCTTTGTAATAAGAAACTATGGTATGCACAGTTTGTGGAATTTTGCAATATGGATGTAACATGTTGAATAACTCTTAAAGGTAATTGGAGGTATATCAATCTATTTTATGATATGCAAAGAAGATGAATTTGATAAGTAATTATGAAATTTTGCAAAATTAGTTTCCACAGTTATCAAAACTGTCCAAAAATTCTGTTGCTGAGTTTCACTCAAGTATCTTCTTGCTCAGTTTCAACATTGCAAAAACCCAACTAACTATGCATAAACACATGTATTGCAAAACACTTGTTGTGTAGGAGAATTTAATGAGCAACTGGGGGATTGTTTGAAATCTTTGGTCCTGATTCAATTTAATCACTGCTATTCTTGTTTTTCAGCTGGGGGGCTGAAGTAATAAACAAAATAATAATGTATTTAAATTATATTGTGCCTCTTCCAATAAAAATTCTTCAGAGGTGCATCACAAAAAAATCATTAAAATTATGCTAAAACATGACAATTTCATTGCAACTTCTATGATATTGCAGATTTTTCCGATGAGTCATTTCAACCATTTGTCCCATGTGCTTTGGTCCAAGTTAACAAATACAGTACACCAGTGGCATATCAGGAAGTCTTGAAATTGGGGGATGCTGGGGGGAGGGGAGTGCGAAAGTGAAGTGGGGGAGCTCAGTGATCAGGTGACAGGCGTTAATTTGCAAAAGAAGGTGATTTTTAACTACTTGACCGTGATTTTTTCGGGGAGACTGGGGAACGCAAGTAATTTTTGTAGGGGCGTGCATAACCTCTAGATCCGCCACTGCAGTACACTACTTGGAAAAGAGTAGGGGATTGTCTCCTGTGTACTGCTAGTGGACCCACTAGAAAAAGTCTCTTTTATCCTTGGTATTTTTCAATTCTATCCTACTGGGGTGGATACTGGATTTGGTGGGGGGGGGGTGCTTGAAAGTCCACAGTACCTCAGCCCCACCGTGGCTGAGGTGGGAAAATTGGGGGAATATGGACCTCTATGTGCCCAGAAATTGCACTCCCTCATACCTTAAAAATCTTACCAGTAATTCATATCAACAATATAATACAACAGTTATTTTTCTTAATACAGTTTAAGGGGTGCGATTGTACTGTCTGCACACCCACTGCATCTGCCTCAGATCCTATCCTTGGGGATCTCCCTTACTTTTTTTAGGAAAAAAATTTCAGTCAGTGGCCTTAAAGCATGTTTGTTAGATTAGATGAGACTTTTTATAACTTGTTTTAATAGCAAAATTTATTTTTTGAAATATAAAAGACACATAAAATATAAAATAATATTATTTAATGCTTTTTATTTTGAAAGAAAGAAATAATGATTTCATTTCGGGTAGTTGCAGTGTTCATTATTTGAATAATTATTATTATATTAAAATTCCATTTTTGTGTACAGTAGGTGTGCTACTAACAACCGAAAAATATATTTGGTTTCATTTTAAATCATTATTGGTAGGCAAAAGGTTCATGTATTATGGTGTAAACATGTTTTACATTATTGCTAAAAATATATGATTATAAAGATGCAATTGTCAGACCAAAACAATTGAGGAAAACCCTAATACATTTCTCCTCCAGGGACGTAGCCAGGATTTTGAAAGGGGGAGAGCCGTTATGTGAGGTACGTAGGAGCCTGTGGGTATGTGGGGTCCAGTGGCGAAATGAAGTGCCAACAAATTTCTCATGATCTTTTATCAGGAATTTTCGGTAACCATAGAGATCTTATTAATAGGTGTGATGTACCATAGAAACTAAAACATAAAAACATTGTTTTGGAGTACTGTATGTACTTTAAATACTTCAAAGCCATGATTTCACAACCACCTCAGCCCCAGCATTTGAGGAAATAGTACATCTAAATGACTGGAAATGACACTTATATAGTAAAATTCATCCTTTATCAGGGATCTACTGAATATCCAAGACAACTTAGGCCTAACTATAGCTTACTAAGCTTTAACTATACTACAGTATAATAATTGTGATCAACAAATCACAACTTACTTTTTCGCTTTTAGCATAATTTTCTTCGCTTTTTAATATTATTAATTTTATTATCTATTATCACCATCGTCACCATCATTACTACTCTGAGTACTGTAGCATTAAAACAAAACTTTATAGAGTTTGCAAAAGGATAAAAACCAAACTGAAATACAATACAATATCACATTTCTGTATCTGAAAAACCTGGCCTGGGATTTATGGATTTAAGTTTTTTTAAAATCACACTTAGGCCTCTATGTTATTATAGTAGGCCTATCTATGTATAACGCTGATGCATATTTACATAATAGATTAGAAGTATTCATTTTGAGTGATTCCTGGAAAAAGATTTGTATTGGCTAGCAAGAACAAGCTTTAAAATTTTAACACTTTGTACAAAGGGGGAGGAGGAGGGAGCCGCAGCTCCCACGGCCCCCCCCCCACTGTATACGTCCCTGCATTTTCCCCCAAATTAAAGATCACTTGGACCAGATTTCCATGGCCTTTAGCAGCATTTGTTAATACACAGAAAAGTTGTCTTTAATTAGATGGGTGTCTTTAATTCAATTGTTTTCTATTACTATTATGAAAGATCAAATAAGTTATTAACTTCCAAGCAGACATAGATAAAAAAAAAAATGGGAGGTTTTTTTTGCAGATTTACAGACATTTAATTACAATAATCCTTAAATTGATTACCAGTAAATTTAAGGGTCTATGCAAAAGAATGCAAGAATTGTATTATTTAACTCTCTGTTAATTGATGGGAAATAATTTTCTTCTTTCAAATTTGTAGCTTAACTAAAACGTACAACGTAAATTAGGCATTTCATGTCAGACAGACTTCTTAAATAATACATGTAGTTTGTGTACTACATTGTGGCCATTGTTTTGTAGATATATTTATTATTTTATGAATGTATTTTCCATTGCATAAATGTTTGTGTAGTAGTTTTGGAATAAATTGTATCTGTGAGAGAAAAAAATATATATTTTTCATGTATAGCTTTTTGTATGCAGTCATTGTCAATTATAGTTATAATACTATAATCACCTATACTTTTTATCTTGGGTGTTTTATTCACATATACATAGCATGAAACACAATAAATAACAAAAAAGAAATAGGCTATGCGTTACAAAGACTGGAGGTCAAGGTAGAGACATTATACCATGCAGCATTAGAAAATAGCAGAGAGAAGCATAAAAGTATGTAAACTTCGTTGAATACGGTCAGGAAAACAATATATTTCATAATCGTATCTGAACTGATTGTTATTTTATAGACCTATTTCATATTTAGCTTTTAATGATACATGCATCATTAGTGAGCCCATATGACTTTCGGAAAATATGGCTAGCCTATATTATATAGTTGTCTCAGGTGGTCTAGCATAGGTCTCTCATACAGTCAAATCTACAACCATTGGTGGGGGTGGGGGAGTCTTTAATTCAATTACGTTTTTCAGTTTGTATTATGAAAGATCAAATAATTTATTAATTACCGGTACCAACCAGACACAGATCGAAAAGAATGTTGTTTTCTTAGCTGATTTACAGACATTTAACTACAAACGTGGAGCCATTGGGGTGGGGGTAATTTTTCTTCTGAGACAGGTGACGTGGATCCTCTCACATCACCTGACACCAAAAGGTTTCGGATTAAAAATATTAATTTGTTAATCCACAAAGTTATTTTGATTGCCAATGTTTTACATTGTGGTTTAAAATCATTTTGGGTCACCCTAATTAAACCATAAAATCTAATGAAACCCCCACCTCGGAATTTCATTCTGGGACCCTGACTGAGGCTGTAGGACGGCCCGTTAGTTCAAATGTTTAATGTTGAGCTATTGTACCTACTCCTCTCAAATATTATTTTTAGGGCCACCACTGCTTAGAACCAAACATCTTACTTAAAAGTCGGGAGTGAACTTATACCCATGTTAAAATTATAGCTGAAAATTGTACATAAAGCCTAATAAAATTCAAAGGCTCCTATCAAAATTTCCCCTAGATAGGTTTTCGTGAATTTTGGATATATTGGCCTATGGAAGAATACATTTCCAATTACAGCAACATTTCTTCTATAACATTTTCACCGGCAATATAGGCAATAACTTTACTAACTTAATATTTCTTACGGGAAATAAAAATAGTTATGAACAATTCAAATTAAAAAAGGCACCGCAAGGAAAGTATTAAACAAATGTCATACAACCTATTGTATGAATAAACATCAGGACATATCTAGATGTGAACGCAAGTAAAGTAACACAGACCATGTCATTTAAAAAATCAGTAAAAGGTCATATAGAAAAAATAATAAGAAAAGTAAAAAAGTAGAGAAATAATTTCCTATGTTATCCTCTATTGCATATTATAGGAAATCCAAAACTTGTTCCCTGGTTTTGTGAAATAGAATCGCGCCCTCTATGTTGTAATATACTTACAAAGACCAGCGTTCGCTAACTTATGAGAGAGTACCGAGTACTTGCAGATCGAGCAAGCGGTGGTATTATTAGGGGGAACGAGGATTTTATGACAGGAAATAGCAGCAAAGTTATGGAACAGGGTTGATGTATATTGTAAAGATTACTTGGTAATGATCTGAAAAAACAATGGCTCAACGAAACAGTGCATCAGAACTGCGACGGGGTGGTAAATGTGTTACTGTAACTGGAGGTTCTATTGCGATCCTTTTAGCCCCAGTAACCAGTCGAGATGATAGTGACATCGGGCAGAAAGCGTCCCGTCGTGGGACTGGCCGTGATGTCTTTCGCGACTTTCAGCGTGAGAATAAACTTAATTTATGGAACAAACCGCTCGCAGAATCCATGAGGGAATTAACTTATTTAGGCTGGTTTGAACCTGGAACATTATTCGTGCAAGGAACAGAAAAGGGACTGGATGGTCTACGAGAAGCTTTCTCAAGAAGAGTACTAAAGCCACCGAGGAACTTCACAATCCATAATCTTGGTAAGTTGGGCAGTTTGGACATACTATATTTTGTTATAACTGACATTGCGTAGCAACTATTGTAAAAAGATCCATTTCAAGTTTGATACTTTAAATAATTTTTCAAGCAAGTTATGGCTGACGGCCCCATGGCGAGGGTCGATATTATATAGTCTCTAATCACATTTTTGTCTATTTGTTCGTTTTTGAGTTGTTTGTTTAAAAAAACATGATGCAGATAACAGAAGTACAAAGTACATTATTAGCTCATAGCATAGGAACTACAGCTCAACATTGTTAAAACTAACTATTATTACTGTAAATTGTATCAATCATCATACAGGAGTCGGATAAAAAAGAAAATTTAATGCCAGGCCCCTCCATAAGAAAAAAGATATTTTATGTACAGTTGAAAACATTGAAGGGATGTTTAAAGAAATAATAGGGAATGGTTGAGATACAACTTTTTTGAATCAATTAAAAAAACTGGGGTACAGTGTTTTTAATATATTTTTTTTATCCCACCCGGGCCTGGCATCAACCATTGTTTTGTTGACAGTAATGTGCGAACATATAAAACAATTACTTTGTATCATATAGTGACGTTAATTCAAAAAGCTACCATGCTTGAAGATTTCATATGTTGTCCTAAATCATATACAGTATATCCCATTCCATTTTGCTTTCGCAAGAAGCAGTTGTATATCTACAGTAGGAATCTTTAAATGTGGGCGTTATGGAGGATGCATGGGTGGAGTGGATGGAGGGTTCAATGATTTTTTTCAGATCTTATTTAACCTTTAAACTAAAAAGGAGACTCATTACAATGTGCATATTCACCCTTTGTAAAAACATAAAATAACATTTGCCTGTTTGGGATCTGTCTGACATTAACATGGATTTGCATACACACTAGTAAACTTGGAGCTAATAATTATTATTGCACCAGGAGAATTTAAGAAAGATATTAGAGAGCTTTCGAGTGCATGCGAGAATGTTAAATTCTGCTTGTCGTGTGGATTCTAGAATGCAATTTAGCCAGATCTACCGTACGTTGTGCAGAGAATATAAATTTAATAATAAATAATAATAATAATAAGATTTATTAAGCGCACATCTCCACTAAAGTGCTCAAATCTGTTATTTATCACACAATGCACTGTCATAATGTGCCTCCCTTAAACCTAAAACAAACTGAATTAATATAAATGTAATTTAATTAATTATAACAAAATTGCAGGAAAACTATGACAATATAATATGATTGTTGTTGATTTCTTATACAATACGATAAAATTTCATTGTCACAATGGTATAAAATATAGCTATGAAATATTAATCCTTATGTTTGAATTAGATAGATTGATGTTGAAAACTTCATCCTACTGTACATAAATTTTCCTTTTGTGTGGAGCTTTTTTAATCATTTCAAAGATATAACAATACAGGTACTTAAAATAGGAACATACAGTATCACTTCATACTTAACTGGTAACTGTTATTGTGGAAATTACTGACATAGTTACCAGGAGACAAAAGCAATGTTTTGTTGATAATGTATCTCTGATATACAATTTGTATTGTGGGTCAGACAATATTAAAAGGACAATACTGCTAAAGATTACCAAGCTGAATAGCTTGTGTTGTAGTTCATTCAAAATGATGTTCTTGTCATTCGACACTTAACTTTATTTAGGTGTAGCCTACGTGCCGACATCAGTGGCTATGTACTTTTGTACTGGGTAACAGCTGTTAGAGCGATATACTTCACTGTATATTTATAACCGCTCTCAGTAAATTTCTTTTTGTTAATTTATAGGTATACTTCACTGTATTATTTATAACCGTTCTCAGTAAATTTCTTGTTGATTTATAATTAGGCCGTATTGGTGCAGCTGAAATTATCCAAAAAACATATAATATTATATTTTACGTGTTTTTCTTTTTATAAATTTTGGGTACTAATTTATGTATGGATGTTCAACAAATAAGCTAAGGTGAATATAGTTTACTATTACGTAAAAGAATAATGTTATCTACTGTACTGCACATTTCAATAAAAGCAATTATCAAAATCTTCCTATTTTCTAATATTTTCATAAATTAAGTTTTTAATGTAAACTAAATTATAAATCACAATTCAATGTGAATTCTGTGTACAGTATATTATGTACCTACTGCCATTGTATTCACACAATTTATTCTTTATTACACTGAGAAAAATTATAGTGTTGAATGTGTTGATTATTGTGTGGTTTCTCCTATTTCTTTCTTAATTCATTTTAATTGGATGGTGATAATATAAAATTCAGATATTTGCGATACCAGGTCCATTCCATAACTGGTCAATAAAATATGAATAATTACCTGGTTTGTATATTATCTTCTGTTGGAGGTGTACTGTAACTGTAGACAAAGTAAAATTTACAGAAAAATGCAAAACCCACTTTATGAATCTATTAATCTGTGCTGTACTTTTCTGTACTTTAGTTTTAAATAACATAATATGTGATTAAATATGTATACATGTCTTTAAAAATAATTATGTGACTTAAAAGTTTTTATAAGATGTTATGTTTATTGGAGCCATGGTTTGTATAGGATCTGCGGTTTGGCCAACCACTTTAGTTTGCTACCATTACAATACCGTACTGTAGGACTACTGTACAGTTTAGCAGGCCACAGGCTAGTTGCCTACCATTACCATACCGTAGGCCTACTGTACAGTTTAGCAGGCCACAGGCTAGTTGCCTACCATACAGTAAATGCCATTGTACTGCCACTGTATTGATCATGTTAATTGTTCCTTACAAAATGGTACAGTAGTTAGGCTAATTCCATCCATTGTCTGCCACAAATCGCTTTTTAATACCAATCCTATTATCTACTAAGCATGGTAGCTAATTTTAATTTCGGAATACTGTAGTAATAATAATGTTCTTTTCTAAAGCACAATATGCCAAAGCTTTGATGAGCTTAACATAATTATGCAAAAATATTTACAAAAATTAACAATTTTTTTAGAATATCTTACATTGATTAGCCCGGATCAAGTCTAGATTGTACTGTAGAGACCCTTGTCATGAGAAGACCCTAAAAGACTTTACAAGGTATAAAAGGTTTCTTAATAGTAAAAAATGAATGTACAGTATTACTGTAGTTTTTTTTTTTTTTTTTTTTTTTTTTTTTTTTTTTCGGGTTTTTTTTTTTTTTTTTTTTTTTTTTAGCATTTATTTGGTAACTTCACATCAGTATGACAGATGGCGTGCTTTTTAACTATGTTAAACTTTGTCCGCTTTTTGTGAAATCATCTTTCCTATACTGTACTGTTTCCAAAGCTGGGGGCCTCTACTGTACCAAGTTTCCAGCCTTTAATATAGCAATGACAGAGAGTTAGATTAGAATATTTTCCTGTTAAAGTATCAATCTAAAAAAAACAAACCAAATTAAGTAATATTTAAATGTGTATATACTGTATTTAATATTATTCTTATTTCTGAGATAAATTGGAGGGGTACACAATCTTTAATCTTCACAATTATCTACACTGTTTGTATATTTTGATGAAAATATATTCATGTATACTGTAATAAGGCAAAACTCAGCTAGATACATACTGTAACAAATTTTAGTGAAGGGTATTTTTCAATTTCAGGACAATACAAGCCCCAATGGTGAATATCCAACATTAACAGCTTTAAAAAGCTACAAGGGAGCATGATACATGTCACTTTAGTGCCATCTACTGGGTTCTTGTTATGTATCTCTTTGTGTCTATTTAATCTATTACTGGAGGAAAAAAAATAAACAAGTTTCATGCCAAGACACCGTATTCAAGCTAGAAAAAAAATTTGAAAGACAGAAACTCTGGTTTGTAGACTTGTAAACAACCTGTTTCACCACTATCTACCTGTACATGGTGTACTGTACTGCAAGCATTTGATATTAAACTTTAACTCTTGAAATTGTATATTCTCATACTATTTTTTATGATAATATGGCCAATTTTGCTGTACTGTGTAAACATGTGTTTATTTACCTTTTTTTTGGAGGGTTGAGGGGGGGGGGGGTTATCGGTACTACCTTCATTATTTTTTCACATCTACTGTAATACAAGACAAATCCAAAAGATCCCATTTTTCAGATGAATATGAAAGATTTTCTGACTACTTGTCAGGGAATACAAAACTGCGACACAACAGACAAAGAAATAGATGACAATGAGGATATGCTGTAGCTGAACTTCTGCTAATTCTATAATTTTTCATCTACTGTACATACAGTACTGCCATTTGATAGAATCCTTTGATAGGATTTGCCATGACCTCTTTCGCATAGTGCCTGCTCTGTCACTGAACCTGTTTCTAATTTACTGAACCAGAAAATTAGACATAAAACTATTGCAGTATGTTGTGGTCTCTTTCTTACATTTGTACAGTAGAGAGTCTCTACTCCGTTATACTGTGTTGGTATAAAAATGTACTGTACTATATTCAATGCTTTATAAGTCTCTTTAGCTCAGGATAAACTTCCTTAACTTTCCCAAGCTGTCATTTTTGACAGTATGATTTTTTGTTTGTATTATTTGTAAAATATTTTTTTTAAATATTAGAAAAGATATTATTATAAAAAAGAATTCATAAACTCAAATCCAAAAAGCTCTGAGAGCTCACAAATTAAGGTATTTTCAGTGTGGTCCATATCAAATTTAAATACATAGGCCTATAATTATGTAGTATATAGTATATGATAATGTTTACATGAATTATAGCTTTAGTATTAATAATGCAAGTAAAAGCAAAAAAAATGCACAAATCTATGATCATTTGGATGTTGAAGAAGTTTGTCAGTAGCATTTTTTTTATAAAATCAGATGCCCAAAATTTGACTATTTATAAAAATTAAACATTATATCTACTATAATAACAGCTACAGTAGTGCATTCAGTCAAAAACATAAATTTTCCCAAGTCTTATAGTTAATACTAGTCATACATTTACAGCCAATAGACGATCAACAATTGTTTAGAAAGCTTATTAATTTCCTGGCCTTCGATCGCAACAGATCCCCTACTACATACAATTCGTCTGTAATCACATTGTGTACTCAAGGCTGATGTAAATAATGTTGTTCGGAATCACCCTACTGGAATCATTCACAGGTTATTCTCTTGCAACAATAGACACCACTCTAAAGAGTGAGACTGAAAGAAAATCCGCTAGATGGAAATATTCAAATGAGTTGACCAAGTGACAAAATCCAATAAATGTTGGTACAATGGTTAAGGCAACGATTGCCCAAAAAATTAATTACTGATTTGGTTAATGGCACAAAAATACTGTATGTATATTTATAATTATATTTATTTATAGATGTACAGTACAGTATTCTGTACTTTACTGTGAAAATGTACTTTAAATCATCCACTCTTTTCAGTTTTAATGTTTTTTCTTTACCATTCCCATGGTCTGTCTCTTATACACATCTAGATGTGTATAAGAGACAGACATACAGGTATACCTTGTAACTTGTAAAATGATGGCCAGTATCTTAATATGAACTCTAATGTAATTAGATAACATTTTAAAATAGAATTGACTTATATGGACATTGGTAATTTCAAAGCTTTAATGCAGTACTGGCAGAGAATTAAAACGTTCTCTTTCATTATTACACTGGTTAGAGATTGGATGGTCAGCTTAATATTCATTAGAGTGAAATTGGCATCTGCTATAACTGATGTTGATATGTCTAAGATTAAATACAAGGTTCATTTAAAGTTTAAAGCAATTAAATTGCTTTAATTAGGTAGGAATATGCATTACCTATTGGGAACTTGTATAAAAACTATGGTCCTAATTGATTCATTAGTTTGGGTTTTGATAGATTGATGCACCTTACTTCCTGTTGGAAGAATCTTTGTCATAAAATCAAATTGACTTCCATTTTGGAATCCGCCTTTCAACTGACTGATAACTACCGAAAGGTGAATTAGGGGTCAAGCTAAATTATTTACATCATCAAATGCTAGTAATAATCTGTTACATTAGTCAAGTAAAATATATTCAGTATTAACTGATTGTACTGTAGAAAGTGTATTTCACAATTAAACTTCAATTAAAGGAAGTAGAAACTGATTTTTGTTAGCAGGTAGGAATATTTTAAAATAAATGTAACTTCTGCTGTTACATGTTTACTGTGTGTAGTTATTAATGTGGGAATTTTATCTGCCATTTCATTTTATTCTTAATGTTTATTTTAATATCTGGCTTTGCCTAGTGTGTTTTCTAACTTATTTTGGTCTCCATCTACTGTTACTTGCTTTTAATGTAATTTCTTTGTGTCTATTGGTTACCTGCATTTTCTGATAATAGACAACTGTAGTACCGTAGTTTATTCAACAACGTATAATTTCCCTGAGCAGAGCAGTATGAGTGGTTAAAAAAAACCTAAATTGTTGCTGTTTATAATTCCAAAGTACACACAATACCTCATCTACAGTATTGTGCAGTGCTTGTTTACATAATGATAATAATATAAATAACGTGGAGTTATAAAGAGCTGTACATCAATCTCAGAGGATACTTACAGCATGGTGCCCCTCAATTTTCCATTTATAATACATTTTTTTTTATAAGAACACATTTTATAAGATCACTGAGGATGAAATTGCTTAAAAATTAAGAACAAATTGAGGCTGAGGTAAAATGTCAAATGAGGTTTTTAAAAATTATATCTGTTCCTTATGTGCAGTAATGTAGGTGTGACTATGTAATTGTAATAGCCCCTATAATCAGGTGTACTGTCATTTGGGGCCATTTTTACCAGGCCTTTTTTCTGGGGAAATTTTTTTCAGAGCCCATTTTTGCTGTACAATAATAATTTTCTATGTTTGAAAAGTGTTTAAAATAAGAACAAATTAAGAACATTTTGAGCCTTGGCAAAATTTTACTGGTTTACTTATCAAAAAAAAGTGTATACTGAATGAAGCTAAGCAATAAATTTAATCATCCATCTACTGTAAGCCTAAAATAATTTAATGATTATATTCTATAAATGTCATCCCTTAAAGGTGGAACAAAATATATCAATACAATGAATGATATTAGTACTGTAGGCCTAACTGTACTATATTGTTTGTAGTGGATTTCAGCTGTGTGATGGGTATTTGCTGCACAAACATTCACTGGAGTTCAACTGAAAGCATCCAATGCTAAAATAATGGCCTCAGGAAGAAGGTTCTTAAATAAATACATGTAATACTATACTAGAAATACACCAGAGGGAGTACAGTATAGATGTAATGTGGTTTTTGTTGTTGTTGTTGTTGTTGTTGCTGTTTTTTTAATCAGTATGTGAAACCACCCCATTGATGCTGTACATGCAAAGTCTTCAAATCCCCATGGAGTGCAAGGCCTTTTGTAAATGGTGGCTTCCATTGTACATAGTGTTTTGATTTTACCTCCATGGTAGAATTTATACAAACAAACAAATGAGTTTTGGTGAAAATAAAAAATTGTAAAAAATTGGTCAGGTATATTTTTTATGTAGGGAGGGGACAATCAACAACTTATTTTGTTTAAATGTTTTTCTTCGCTCCTCATATTTATGACGATGTTCATTCTTGAAGGCATGGCAAATACGCCTTAAGTACATCAACTTTGATGGAATTGTGTTCAAGTTGGTATGGTAGCAACCGACAATGCTGCTAATGTATTTTGTATGTTCAGTCAATGTACACAGAAAAGAATGTGTACACCAAAGACAGTTGACATGGACAACATAGGCGTAGATATGCATTCACCAGCTTACACACCTGGACAGCTAATTTTGTCCATTATAAAATGCGAAATTTTAAAATGTGGAATTAATTTCATTCCAATGAAAACGTGCAGTAATGGTCATTTTTAGTGTTTTACCTACTTAGTGGAACTAACTGTCATGGGGGCATTCCCCAGCCTACACACCTGGACAGCTAATTTTGTCCAGTATAAAAAGATAAACAACTACTGTACACTTAGAGTGAGTAGATGGATAGGTGTTCTAATTAGCATGGGTGACCCAACAGTATTTT